ATGATTTCTGTAAACTGCCAATAATCACAGTGACTGAAACACACCTTCCCGTGATTCTTCCTTAGGTCTAGGAACTCGAATACATCAGCATGCCAGGGTTCAAGGTATATTGCAAAAGCACCTACATAAAGAGATAGATATTATGTCAGAAAATAACCTATAGAAAAAGGAAATTGGTTAATATGAGATGTGAAGACAACATTGCACCTTTTCTCTTCCCTCCTCCTTGGTCAACATATCTTGCAGTATCATTGAACACCCGCAGCATAGGGACAATGCCATTTGATGTCCCATTAGTACCGCGTATATAACTTCCAGTGGCACGAATGTTGTGCACAGAAACACCAATACCTCCAGCAGACTTGCTAATAACAGCACACTCCTTCAGAGTATCATAAATTCCTTCAATGCTATCGTCTTTCATGTTGATAAGGAAGCAGCTACTCAACTGTCATTTCCATCAAGTCATCAACAACCAAGGTTAATACTCAATTACCAATAATTGCAGGAAATATAATATTAAAGCCATAAGACAGAACTAATAAACTTATTAATATCACATACTTGAGGCCTTGGTGTGCCAGCATTGAAGAGAGTTGGAGAAGCATGGGTGAACCACCTTTGGGACATCAAGTGGTATGTCTTGATGGCCGACTCGATATCATCCTTGTGGATCCCAACAGCAACCCTCATCAACATGTGCTGAGGTCTCTCCACAACTGTCCCTTGGACCTTCAGGAGATATGATCTCTCAAGGGTTTTAAAACCAAAGAAATCATAGTCAAAGTCCCGGTCATAGATTATCTCACTATCCAACTGTGCAGCATTCTGCAAGACAAAATGATAATCATTCATCAATAAACAAGTCTCAATTGAAAATTAACAGAAAAATTTTCATTCACAGGTTTCTACAATAACCTATAAGTATTCATCTGTCTCATTATACTTACCTCAATAGATTATTTTTTGGTTAAAATATGCTCATATTTCATATTAGTTTTCAATCCTATGACATACTCTGCTAAGATCATTTATCTTGTTAGATCTGAAGCAGAAAAAAGGTTCCATTGACTGAAGAAAAAATGCTACATGATAATTGATAACATATATCTACAATTCTCCCATGAAAGTAGCTTAATTATGCTTAATTAGTAAATATATAATCACTAATCATAGATCAAACTTCAAATAATATATCAATGGTAACACAATGCATATTCTAGATCAATGCATGCACAACAATCCGATATAAGTAGCTATAAACACAACATCAAAACAACCACCGCATGACAAGTAACATAAACACGACATCGAACCATCACCCAAAAATGCAATACAAAATCAGATTCATTCATGTTAAACATTACGCTTAAATACATCAGATGATATAAAAATCACACTGAAGAAATACCTTCATGATGATATCATACACATCATCAGCAACCAAAGGCGCCTTCAATCCAGACCTCTCATTAAAATGAGTGTACATCTCCTTTATCCTACATCAACATTACAATTAATCCAATCAAAAACCCCAATTTCTAAATGCCAATTATAAAACAAATCAAAACAATATAACACCACTTACGTCTCAGAGAATGACTTCTTAGTTTTCTTATGCAAATTCGAAACAACAATCCGTGCCGCCAACTACAACAACAACATCAAACCAAATCAAACACCGAAACCGAACCCGAAAACACAATCAGTCAAATTGAGAAAACAATACAATTAAAGCAAACCCCAGAAAAATAAAAAGGAAATAAAATAGCAAACTCACAGAAGCATAATCAGGATGATTAGCAGTCATAGCAGCAGCAGTTTCAGCGGCTAATTCATCAAGTTGACTAGTCGTAACACCCTTATAAACCCCAGCACAAACTTTCTGGGAAACAAGAACAGGGTCACAATGATCTACACTAAGACCATAACTCAATTTCTTCAACCTCGCGGTAATCTTATCAAAATGAACCGTCTCTTGACGCCCATCTCTCTTAACTACATACATCTTCTTCCTATCTTTTTCTGGGTTAGTTAATTTTTTGGCTTTGTTCTCAGAGGAATTTCGTCGAACAGGTTGTGCGCAAGAAAAATGGATAACCCAGTAAAGAATAAATAGCAAAAGGGGTAGAAAAAGGAGGCGGGATTTGGAAATATTTGGGGATTAGGGTTTCGATTTTCCCTCGTAGAATATTGTCTGATTGCGGTGGAAATGAATTTAAGATTTGAAAAATTGGCGCCAAAATTGGGAAAAACTTGTTGGATAATCTTTTGATTTAAATTGAAATCTGAAAATGCGGGTTCATGTATGTGAGTGGAGTGGTTGACGAATTGATTATTTTGGGGGGAATCTCGAATATGAGTTGTGTTTGTATATGGTATTATGGTGGGTACCATTTTCGCTTTAATTTATTGCCTTTGTTGGCCGTGATTTTGGTTTCATTTTTGGGATTGGTTTCCCGCTATTCTTTGGCGGTTTTTACTTCCTCCCACGAAGATAATATACGGTATATTGTACGTTTGAGTCAACTTAGAATCTTTTATTATAAAATCTCTCCTGTCAAAATAAATAAAAATTATAAAATCTCACTATTATAAATATTAATTAAAAAAATATTAATTTAAAACCGTAAAAAAAAAACACCAATAATGTAGTAGGAGTTTTTGTTAATAAAATTTGTAGTCATATTTTATTGAATATATTCGTGAAAAAAAAATTGCATTAAAAATCGAGAATTTTAAAGTGTATAGAATAAAAATATAACAAAGGAAATGCTTTTTATTCAAGCTATAAAATGATATTGCAAGTTAAATTGAACTTTAGTAGCTCTTTTTAACTGTTAGGAAAAACTTATTGCTATCCGACTTATCTTATAAAAATTTGCTGAGTACTTTTTTTTTTTTTTTTTTTTAAAGTGTGTGTAAACTTAGCTAGTCATCTTACTTCGTGTTTAAATTATTTTTTATCTGTAATTCTTTATTTATGTGTGAAATAGTCTTATGCTATAATTATTTGTCATAATTGCTTGGGAAAAAAAAAAAAACTTATCTACTCCATATTGCAAAGTATTCCATAATACTCATACTCCCTTTGTTCTTGAATAAGTGACACAGACAAATTTAACACACATGTCAACGCATACATTTGACTTTAAATACGGTGTGCCCGGAGTTACTCGGTTGGTCACGGGACAATCGGTCAATATTTATCTAGACAGTTTTTTAGAGCATGTCAGCCTGTCTCACGATGATAAATGCTATAAATATATACTCCCTCTGTTCCAATATATAGTTTTTGTTTTTGTTTTATCACAGTATTTTAGAAATGGGAGGATAAGGTGGATAAAGTATACTAAAAGTGGACAAAAGTTAGACAACGGTACAAGACAAGGGGATAATTTAAGGGGAAAAAAAATGAAAAATACAATTATAGGAAAAAATTAGAGAGAGAAAGTGGAAAAAAGTAAAAAGCATGTGGATAATTTATGGGATTAGGAAAATGAATAAAGTTTAAACAATGAGGGTATAATATGGTCTTTACATACTATCCAAAAATAGAAACATGAACAATATTTTAGGCTTCAAAAATAGGAAAACAGGAACTATAATATGGGACGGAGGGAGTATGTAAATAAATATCAGTAAAAAATATTCAAAAGTTATATTAATACTGAGGACTGTTCATTAGTCCAAGACCGGACCGAACCGGACCGAAGATCGAAAAATTGAATTTCAAGAATCGAACACCGGAGCGATTAAGCAAGGACCGAACCAGGACCGGACCAATTTCATAATTTTTATAAAAAAAATCCTAATTTTAAATAATTTATGGAAAACTCGAAAAAAAAAAGAGGAAAAACAATGTTTTAACGTCTTTTTTTGTATGTTTGGTGTAAAAAAGCTCATACGACTAAAGTTTTCCAAACTTGTTAAGGGTAATCTTAATTATTATTTAAAGGTTTTATGTAGTGTTAAAAAGTAATGGTTAATTTTATTTTATTTTATTTTATGTCAATTATTTAGAAATGGAGGGAGTATGATTACAAAATATTTTACCTACACTTTATTCAAACATATTTGAATTAATTTTGTCTAAAATAAGTTGAACCAAATGAATTTTATACTTTGTTCTACAAAAAAAAAAAAAAAAAAAAAAAAGAATTTTATACTTGTGCCAATGTGGGTTTGTTGTCCAAGTGTAAAAGAATGGCCGATTTGCTTCTTTCGAAGCAACACACATTGGAAAACTGTGAAAGGTAATTGTGGTATGATGTGAGCATGTGACAATTTTGGCTCCGAAGGTGTTGGACTTGGATTGATTTTGTAGGCATTGTCTGACTTCCATATTGGGCTAGTTATTCCTGACGAACCCAACCGGGTAACCAGTACAAAACCTCACATGGGCCGTTATGACTAACAGCTAAAAGAGAAAGGCTCGTGATTCTCGTGAGCCATTGATAGTATTTGTCTACTCAGCAATTGATACTGAGTAATAGAGATGGACATGAGCGAGGCCAACACGTAAAAGGTTTTAACCCCAACACAAGTTTGGCACAATATGAGAAAGTGAGAAACACGTCATTGAGTAATTGTGTATGGATTTTGTTTTAAAAATCGGACACGAAACTAACATGAGCGCAACAATTTAACTTGTTTACCTTTGAAGTATTTATTAAAAATATCATCGATTTTATTAAAGGGGTGTTGACATGATATGACACATGGATCTGGTCATGCATAGATTTCATTTATGAAAGATCAACACAATCTTGACACAATATAACCATTTCTTAATATGACTGGCTTAAACATGAGATGCATATGTTGACATGACACTTAGGCTTACACAACACGAACCCGTAGGGTCCCGTACCCACATTTATTGATACAAAGAAATACAAGTATATGAATTAACTAATCTAAACCATGGTAATCACATGGTAAAACCTTGGTAATAACGATACAACGTTACTAAACACAGACGCCAACAAACTCATATACATTACACAGCTGTCAAAGTTTAAGAAGATATTAAAACTTTATATTATCTCACTTAATCCCAAAGCAAACAAACAAATAAAACGAACAGTCAACTGCCCTCCAATAATCACCACCGCCGACGCACCATTTTCTCTCTCTCTCTCTCTTCCCTTCTCGCCTCTCTCACACGCACATACACTCTCTTTACAGTTGCTCACCACCCCACTTCCACCTCTCACTTTCTCTCTCCTCTTTCTCTCTCTAAACAAGCTTCCATTTCTATGGCGGAAGAGAAGGAATCTACGTCTGTTCCTCTCAGTCAAGTTGATCCTGAAGATCCTGCTAAAGCTCCTCTCACTTCCTCCAATTCTTCGTCTCGCGAGGTTAGGGTTTCCTCTTTTTTTACATTCTTTGTTTTACTATTTTTGTTTGTTTTCGATTTGTAATTGCATTTTTTTTGGGGCTAATTTTGGAAGAACATTGTTATTGAGGATTGGATTTTGGGTTGAGTAATGATAATTTTTGTGTATAGTTTGAAGTTGGTGTTGATTAATAGTTGAATGTGTTTGAATTTGGAGGTTGATTTTGTGTGATTGTGATTGAGTTCGTGGTTGGTGTGTGTTGATTGATGATATTTGACCTAATTTGGGGGAATGTGGGGAGGGGAGTGAGTACTCGGGTGGGATGGGAATTGCTTTCGAGGTTAGATTTGTGAGATTCTGTTTGCTGAATTTTTCAGCAACTGATTCAAAAGAATCGGAAAAATTAATTAAAAATACAATTGTGAATTATGGATTGTTCTGTGATTGTTTGGATGCTTTATTATTATATCATGATTTTCTTGTTTTTGACTTAGTTTGGGGACCAGGAAATAAAGCGTGACATTTCGTAGCAAAATTAGTAAAATTGATTTTGTTTTCGGATGTTTAGTCAATGTGAATCTAATTGCTGGATTTATGAATTACCAAGCAATTAGAGTCCATTTTGTTGGTATTAGGATTTGGGCATAACTTGGTGCCATATACATTGTTTACATGTATCGTGATTGATGTTTTAGAATTTATGATAAAGAAATAGGAATGTAAATTTGGTTGAATAAGAAATAAGTAGCTGTGTCAGTTAGCATAAGAATTACAAAGTAAGAAATAAAAATAGTGGTTTAGGTAGCGATCGATAATGGCGTTGGCTAGGGGATATAGTATAAGAAGCAGAGGATAGATTTGAACAAGGAAAGATGGATGTTAAGCGCTAATGCTGGTATTAGCATGCAGCATATCTACTCTAACCTTAATGGCTTGTTTAAGTTTTTAATGGCTGGATGTAGATTTTCTGAACAATATCATTTCTCAGTTCTCTTATCAAGCTTTCTAATTCACCCCTGCCTGTGGTGACCCAATGTCATAGCTTTGTAAAGCATCTTATGCTCCTGTGTATTACTCCTGTATGTTTGTGAACACATAGGGCCTTAGTGAAGATGCTATTTAGTTGTACAAAGTATTAGATTTCTTTGTAGATGAATTATTTTTCTTCTCGATGTTTTGTTCTGTGAAAATGCTAGACTACCATTGTAAATTTGTTATCAGTGGTTCTGTTCTGCTTAGAATATTATTTATCTACCCAAACTTGCTTGTCATGCCCTATGTAGTCATTACTGTAATTTCTCAGAAGGATATTGGTATCAAAAGTTGTGATCCTATTTTGTCTATGTGGACTGGTGAAGGATTTGGCACTTTGGCATCATACATCTGACCTCCAGCCACTATTTTATCCTTGTACTAACACATATATGTTTTGCCAGGCTTGCTGTTATGTTCTCCAGAGTTGGATTTCTAAAAAGTTCATGACTGGATGGTAATTTGCTGTGTGCTGAAAATTTTAGCTCTTGGTTTTAAAGTATATTGCTAACATTTTTGCATTGGTATTGAAATTGCAGTGTGGTTCTCTTCCCTGTTGCAGTCACCTTCTTCATTACTTGGTGGTTTATTCAGTTTGTAGATGGTTTCTTCAGTCCTCTGTATGAGAGCCTTGGGATTGACATATTTGGTAATTTCATTTGTTTCGTTATACTCTTTACTTGTTGTCCTTATGTGACATTTTTTTGGCGGGGTGGGAGAACTAATTTTGATCATAGGGAGATGCCTAGGCTGGGTCCTGGGTGTTTTTTTTTTTTTTTTTGCGATGAAATCTAGAGCTAATTCTGTCTATTAATTTTTTTCTCTGTCAAGGACTGAAGGTTTTGTAGGGAAGGTAATTGTAAAGCATGAGAAAACTGATAGGGTGTAACAATGTAGTACAAGATAAGTTAAGTGGGTTGAAATTAGAGCTAGCAAAACAGGTAAAATCAGTAAGATTGTCAAAGGCAGTCCTTTGTGACTAAACAAATATATTGTTAGGGATTGCCAACTATAGCTGAGATGCCTGTTATAAGATAATTGGAAATACATTTCTGTAATGTTTCTTAAAGTGCTATATTCCTCTATTGTTATCTGTGCTTTGCCTAGATTGCTTTTTATTATATAATATATATATTTCTCTCTCTCTTTTAATATAATAAAACTGTACCATCAATGCTTGCAGAAGAAAAATTTTAGGTGGATATTCCATCTATGGGAACAGAATAATCTTATGCACATTTCTACTTGTGGTCTAGGAACATGTAATGTGTGAATTGTTCTTATTGATTTATTTTTCCCTGGATTTCTTGCAGGACTAGGATTCATCACTTCGCTATTGTTTGTTTTTCTTGTTGGTGTTTTTGTTTCCTCTTGGATGGGTGCCACTGTTTTCTGGCTTGGAGAATGGCTGATAAAAAAGATGCCTTTTGTTAGGCATATATATTCAGCGTCTAAACAAATTAGCTCTGCAATTTCACCAGGTAATACTTGATTTTGAAGACTTCCTGTCAGCCTTACCTAGATGTTATGATCACAACTTAGATGCATTTCTCTTGGTGTGTTGCAGTAAGATAATTCATGCATAGGGTTATATAGCTTTCTTTCTTTGTTGCTCAAATAGTATTGACCGTTGTAGTGCTATGATAAATCTGACAACTTCTATGTGAATGGCTTTCAACTGGCTATCATGTAAACTTAAAGCTTATGATGTCTTGATGTAATCTATGTTCCTGTGTTTCAATGTTGGGTCAGGATGGTTTGAAGCTGACAGCTTCGTTTTTCTGATGTCTTGGATTTTTAATGTATTGAACGTTGTCCAAATTCTTTTGAACAGATCAGAACACTACTGCTTTTAAAGAGGTCGCTATAATTCGTCATCCACGTGAAGGTGAATATGCTTTTGGCTTCATCACATCTTCTGTCACTCTGCAGGTATGTGAAGCAAATAAACATATGCTGTTTTCTTTTCCATTCCTATTTTTTACAAGTGATTTTTACAGCTAGTATTTAGCTTCTATTGGCGTCGCACACTTGTACATTTTATGTCTACACACTTGTATACATGCATGTGCATTTGCTTGATGAGAAAGGCATCTTGATTTGTAAATCTGTTGCTTTTCAGTATGGTTTTAATTAGTTTGCACATCCTCAATATGCATGCAAACTCATGCTTGTATGAATTGCTGGATAAAAAATATATCTGATGAATTTCTTGGGGTCAAATAGTCAATCCTAGGGGAATGAAAAAACCAAAAATATTTTAAGCTCTGCTAGATAAGTGCTAAAACAAATGAGAAGCAATACTATATAATACATTACTTTGATAGCAGTAACGTAAATGGGAACAATGTAGTGCTTTGCCTGCCAGTCACTTACTCATTTGAATTTAGGATTAGCATTAGGTGATTTATGGAGTGAGTGCAACTGCTCAAGGCCTTTCCTTATTTTAATAGTGTAGCTATTACTAAGTTAATGATCTGGAAGAGTTACAGAAGTTGGTACTCTGATATGAAAAGATGTGGAAGACATACATTTTCTTTCTTCGTGTCATGCAGTCAACTTCCTCTTGGCACTGCATACTGAATAATGTTGTGGACTGGTGCTTGACTGTGGAGAAAAGAGAACCATTTTTGCAATGTTGCTGATATATGGGCTCTAGTAAGATAAGAAAGTGATGGCAGTGCCAAAGGTGAAGTGAGCTTTTTTGAAGATCTAGTTTAGAAGGACTTTAAAAAAAGAGTTGAGAATTCATGTGGTTAGTGGCTAAAAGTAATCTACAAGTCACTTTGCTCTTCGTAGATATTGATGACCTATGTTATCTCTATAGCTCTTTTGAGAATAGACCCTTTCTTAATCTTGAAAAAACAAATGTGTAGGGGGTTGGGGGTTGGGGGTTGGAGGAGGCAATATTTATTATATTTGTGTTCTTAGGTTTTGAATTTCTGAATGGTATTAATTTTGGTTATTTTTGCTAATTGCAGAAAGATGATGGTGACGAAGAATTGTGTAGCGTGTATGTTCCAACCAACCATCTTTATATCGGAGACATCTTTCTGGTCAATTCCAAGGATGTTATCAGACCAAATCTTTCTATTCGTGAAGGCATAGGTCTGTACTCTGTTTCCCTTTTCCTTCCTGTTTATGTATGAAAAATTCATATTGAAGCATACAAATAGCTATCTTTTTGCACCTAATATTTGTGTTTTCTTTTATTTTGAGCTATAGAAAGAGCTACTATTAGAGTTATTAGTATTGGAGGTGAAGGGAATCTGAGATAGAATGAATTTTAAAAGAAACAGCTGTTACACTACCCTTCCTTGTATGCGGTTTCTTTTCTAAAAAATGTTCTTCACATGTCAGTCATTTCAATGAAAATCCTTGTATACTTGCAAGACATGATATTGAACTCTTTTTAACACCCCTTGTATTTACACACTGTTTTTCCTTCCCCCAGAGATAATTGTTTCAGGAGGCATGACGATGCCACAAGTCATATCACCTGTAGAAAGAACACTGCGACAAAGTGACAGAATACCGATGAATAGATTGTCAACATAATACTAAGGATGAAGGATGTTTGTTTTTACAACTGGTGTGATGTCTGATTATCAATATGTGAAGAAAGCTAGTTTGCTTGCAGATAATACCACAAGAAATTTGTTATGCCCACGGCGATTTCCGAGTGGATTCAATGTGGAAATTTCAGTAATCCTTAACTGTTATATTCATTCGTGGTGTGTATACCGTTGTTCTTGTAATAGTGACCTCTGTACCCAGTATATAGGAAATTTGTAAAGGTAAGGTTAGAGATTTTGATGGTATCCAGTAGCTTCAATCGATTTTATATAAGCGTCAAAGCGTGTATCCTAAATTATTCCACTAGATAAATTTTATGCTTAAATCAGGATGATAGTTTGCACAAATTTATGATTTGGGAACTTTTGGTTCTGTGACCTTTCATCTACTGTATAGCGGTAAAAAAGAATAATTTCAGTCTGACATAAAATAAGTTGTGACAAAATAAGTTCAAATAAACTTGGATACAATAATACTTTGTATAACTTTATGAGTTAAGAAGAAATAATACAGGTTCAAACTAGATAATATGGAGTATAATTTCAGGCAAAATAATATGGAGTACTAAACCTGCTGTTATACGGGTTTAGACGAGTCAAATAGACATCTACAATTATACACATACAAATATACCATGCTTCATTCTGACCAGACCTCAACCATATTACTTCATGCTTTGATTAATATTTGGCCGTTTTGGTACTTTATACAAAATAGTATATGTATTTTTATGAGGAAACTTTTTAAAATTTTAAACTTCTAAATATTTGATGTTTGTAGTTTTAAACAAAATGTACGAGTAAGATATTTTGCAGCATGAGGATTTTATCGACCTCAATTAAGATAACTTTGTATGGACTAACTAAGTAAAGCTTAACTCATTTGGTGATAGTCTTACCTTAAATCCTAGAGATCTTGTTAATACTAAATCAAAAAAGATTATGGTTATTGATTATGAATTTCCGATAAGGATTGTTAATCTCCTAATAAAAAAATGGAAATAACTTTTTGACTAACTTGGGAAAAAAAAATTAGAAAAAGAGGCCTCAAATGGATAGTTGGACACCAATCACAAAGAAGAATAAAAATTCCTCATTTTTCCTCAAAATAACAAAAAAAATAAAAAAAACCCTTTTTCGGTAAATACTGGTAACAACATTTTGGGTTTTTCTAAGCTATGCCCTCAAGGTTGTTGAATTTCTAAGGTGTGTCCATGTTTTTTCAAAATTACAAGTTATGCCCTCCAACTTAAGTTGTTTAATCAACCGTATTCTCTGACGTAAACTCGACGTTAACAATTGTAAATAAATAAGAAGTAATAAGAAGCGGATAAGAAAAAAGAATAAGAATTACACCGAGAGCTTGACATATCCATGGTTGCTTTTAGAAGAAAGAACAAAAAATAGATGAGAAAATTTGAAAAAAATGCTAAATGTTAACCTACTTAAATAACTCTAACCCAATTTGGACGCGAAATTTCTATCCAAAGTGTGGTAACGAACTGTTAACACAACTACTAACGTTAACGTTGGATTAACGTTATAGAATACGGTTGAATAACACCTTAAGTTGGAGAATACCTCTTATAATTTTGAAAAAGTATGGCACACCTTATATACTCAATAACGATGGGACATAACTTAGAAAAACCCAAACATTTTTAGCAGCCTCAATTTCTATTAATCTCCCTTCAGAAACCTCAAAACTCCTAAACCCTAAAATAAACAATACGAGTACGTCAAAACCCCCAATTTCGCGCAAACCCAATATCGAAATTAGGGTTTGGAATATTTTCAATTCTCATCAAATTAAACTCTGAATTCCTCAATCTATTGAATTTCGTTGTCCCCAGAAAAATTCAATGGATTTCGATGAGTACGAGTACTTGGAGAAAACGGTGGAAGAAACAGCAGAGGGTCGATCGAAGAAGGAGGAGGTGAGCGGGGAGAAGAGAGAGAAAGGGTACAGGAAGAGGAGAGAAGAAGAATGGGATGATCATCGAGAAGATGACTATGATGATGAGAGGAAGAAGAAGAAGTTGAGAAGCGAGGAGGAGAATGGGGGTGGAGGAGAGAGAAAGCGGGAGGACAGGGATAGGAGGAGAGAGAAAGAAGAGAGACCCAGGGACAGGGATAGAGATAGAGAGAGAAGGGATAGAGAGAAGGAGAGAGAAAGGGAGAGGAGAGATAGGGATAGAGAGAAGGAGAGGAGAGAGAGGGAGAAGGAGAAGGAGAGGAGAGAGAAGGATAAAGAGGAGTCTGATAGGGAGAAGGAGAAGGAGAGTGATGTGGAGAAAGAGAAGGAGGTGCGAAGTAGTAGTCGGTCCAGGCGGCATGATAGCCAGGAGCGAGAGGTGAGCCGGGATAGAGACAGGGAGAGGGAGAGGTCAAGGCGGAGTAGTAGTCGGCCTAGGCGGCATGATAGCCGGAATAGGGATAGGGATAGGGAGAGGTCAAGGCGAAGCAGTAGTCGGTCAAAGCGGCATGATAGCCGGGAGCCAGATGTGATCAGGGAGAGGGAGAGAGAGGCCAGAGAGATTGAGTCCAGAGATAGCAGGTAGCTTGCTGGTTGATTCTTCTTATTTACTGGCTTTGCAAATGTGCGTTGTTTTGATATTGTGCTTTGTGATTAAATTAAGACAATAATGTGTTCTAATTGCATAGTCTTGGTTTTGGCATTGGTGTCATGCAATTTTCTGATAGAATAGCTTGATGAACTTGTTATGTATCTTTACATACAGGCTGTTTGTTCTAAACTATTAAAATTTCATAGTCTATATAAATTAAAAGCTTTTGTGAAATTGTCGGTATTGATTAATTTCTACATGGGAATTTTGGAATGGCAAAAATTTAAGAATCTCATCTTGGGTGAAAGTTTTACAATTATCTGGCTTTGAATTATAAAGAGCTATATTAAAATGCCTCGCTAACCTTGCTATACTTTATAATTATTGGGGAATAGTGAAATGTATTTGCATTTTGCTTCAAGACTCTAATGGAAACAATGTTACAGTGAACTTAAGCACCCCATCCTAGATTTCTACCTTGGAGTCTCTTTAGAGGTATTATGAGACTATTGATGTTCACATTGCAATTGGTCAGCGGCAACATCATGGCTGTAGAATGGTGATGATTCTTGTTTTTACCTTCTATATGTTAGTTTATTTGTGTATATTGATTATAAATTTTACGGTTCACAGGAGATTCAAAGAGAAAAAGGAAGTAGTGGAGCCTGAAGTTGATCCTGAGAGGGATCAGAGAACTGTCTTTGCATACCAGGTGGCTGTCCTTTTATCTAATTCTTCAGTAACCTATGCAGTACTGATATGTTAATTGATCTTCAAGTGGTTTGTTGATTTTTGACACGTGTTTCATTTACTGTACTGGGTGTTTACAGATGCCTCTCAAAGCAACGGAGAAAGATGTTTATGAATTTTTCTCAAAAGCTGGCAAGGTAAATGACACTTTGTAATTGTTTCCTGATGCTATATTGTATAATTGTATACTATTTTTTATGTGCAAGTCTTAGTTGTTGTATCTTTATTATTATGTTTTAACATATTTGCTGTTGACTTGGTACTTTTTATTTTTATTTTTTATTATGTTTAACATGTTTAGTTGTTGTAAAATATCTACTTTCAAATTAGAGAACTATTTAGGCTCATCGACTGTTTATTTATTATTTGTTACAATTTAAATGTCTCTTGCAGGTGAGGGATGTCAGGCTTATCATGGACCGAAATTCAAGGCGCTCAAAAGGAGTTGGGTATGTTCTTATCTGTTGCTAGTATTCTAGGTGCATGCATTGTTATATATAGCTAGTAGCTTATGCTGTTTTAAGATGCAAGCTTGACTTTATTCTTAAATGAACTAGCAATGCGATAAAGATATCCATGATGAGGGATGATGGGAATACCTTGCTCTCATGTTTAACAATTCATGCAGCATTCTAAAGGTAGACGACATGAACCTGAGCCTACTCTTCGTTTTACTTCTTCATCAGTCTCTAAGGACTTAAATTGATTGGTATAATGGTTATTTAATTTAATTTTTCTTATTCATTTCTGATTGGGAGTTGTTTCAATTTAGGTAAGTTTTATTTTGGATACATCATTGTAAAGGTGGATTCGCTGAAGAAACTCCATTCTAAGATGGTAAAGTCAAGGCCTTCAGGACATAAGAGGCTAGGTGGCCTAGTTAAATCTTAGCTGATTCATCAATCAATTTACTGTAACACTAGTGTGAAATTTAACATCTAAGCCTTGTTTAAGGCATTTGCAATCGAACTACCTGTATTTATCTCAAATTTATACACCGCTTGTTCTCAGAAATCTGTCTTGCAAACCTGGTACAGTGCTATGAGCAAGGGAAAAGGTTGGGTTATATCTTTGCAGTGCTGTTTGCCGCGTGTGGTTGTCCATTTTTGTATCGTTACTTGTTAGGGTGGGGGTATGACCCAGTATGGTGATTGAGTTATCTATGTACTTCTGGAATTGGGTATGAGTGCATGATCAATGGGAAGGATATTTGGCTTTGTGATACGTTTTTCAAATTCTATGTGAAATGTTGCTGACCATAGCGTACCTGATTCTGCTATTTTTTTTTTTTTTTTTTTTTTTTTAACCTTTCTCAATCCTACCAGTGGCATTGAACATATGTTATTGCTTGATTGTTTTGGGTTTTTATCTAACCTTCTCTTGTATTTGAGAAATCAGATTCTTGAAAAGAAGCTCAGCTTCAGCTTTCTCTCATATGGATTTTGTTCACCACAATTTTATCTGAATTCTTCGTAAGTCCTGCCTGATTTTTCTGCATATTCAATCATTTGGTAATCTTACAGTGACTTCTTGTGATGAGATGCAGGTATGTTGAGTTTTTTGGTGTTATGTCTGTGCCAATGGCGATTGCAATGTCTGGTCAGCTATTCCTTGGGCAGCCTGTGATGGTCAAACCGTCTGAGGCTGAAAAGAACCTTGTCCAATCTACAGCTTCTACTGGCACAGCTGTTACAGGCCCTTATGGACCGACTGATAGAAAGTTGTATGTTGGTAATTTACACTTCAATATGACAGAGCAGCAACTGCGTAAGGTGAATCTCTAACATTCTTTTCATGTTTTTATGTCCCTTTTCATCCTATATTCCTATGCTTTGATACAGTCCGTTTTCAGGCGACATCCAAAGGAAAGGTTTGGTATCTATAATGTGACTGTTAATTAATGCTGAAGTCTGTTGCTGTAACCTCTACTGTGTGGTTTATTTTGCACTGATTGATAGGCAAGGATCCTTATATATTGAGGAAATATTATGTTTGGTGAAGGAGTTAAATTGTAGTGAATACATGCTAGATTAATGAAAGGTGCTGTTAGATGATATTTT